CATCCCTGGAAACAGTGAAGGCCAGGTTGGACAAGGCTCTGAGCAACCCGGTCTAGTGGAAGGTGTCCCTGGCCATGGCAGGGGGTGGAATGAGCTGTGCTTTAAGGTCTCTTCCAACCCAAACCAGCCTGTGATTCCAGGATCACCCTGGGGCTGAGTTTTGATGCTGGGAGCTGAATCCTCCCGGGAGCCCCAGGACGTGCCGGGACCCAGCGACTCAGCGCAACGCGGGGAGCGAGAGCAGCGGCTGTTCCTGCCGGGTGCTGCTCCCCCAGCCTGCCTGGGCTCTGCATCGCTGAGGGAACCAGCCCTGAGTCATTGTGAAACCTCCCTGTGGGGCAGCCGGGGCTCAGCTCCCGGGGGCTCGGCTGCCGGCGGGGCCCGGCGCGGCACGTGGGAAACGGAGCTTCGCCGAAACCAGGCGCCTTGCTGAGAACCCCGTCACTCCCAAACGTCTCTGCAGCACCACACACACCCCCCCCTTCGCTGTCTGCAGGGGAATTGCGTGGCTTTGCTCGTCCCATAGCCCCTTTTATCGTGGGGTGGTTTTTCTCTGCTCTAAACAGTGTCTGTGGCAGCAGCAGGGATCGTGCCAAGGTTTCCGCTGGGTTGGGGTGTCAGGGCTGAATCCCTTCAGCTCCTATAACCTTGGGGCTTTTCCAGCCAGTGTGTTTAACCCAGTGATGGGGAGCATGGAGTGCAGTCCTGGGGCTACTTGACACCCCCTTCCCCTCCCTGTCCTGGTGCTGCACCTGGAGAGGGATGTGGGTGACTCCCAAAGCTCTGCACTGGAATGCTGGACCCTTACTGGTGGAGCAGGGTGGAAATGGCTGTGTACAGGGCCTAAGACTTTTTATATTCTGCAGGAAAAGGATGACTGGGCTTTTGCAGGGCACAAAGTGACAGCTGAACAATTGTTTGGCTTCCCAGAGGAGCAAAGCCTGTTCCTCTGTAACCTGTAGCTCTGTGGGGTTCCCACCTTGCAGCTCTGGGTTCTGTTCCCAGAGAGGGGCACAGGCAAGGCTGATGCTGCCAGCACCTGCCTGCCCTTACTGAGAGAGTGTTGTTGGTTCTTGAAAGCAGGATCACCAGCCCTCAGCTCGTGTGGAAGCCATGTGTGCTTGCCCTGTTTGCCACCTGCACCGACACTGAGGCCAAAAAGGCTCCTGGCAGGGCTGAGAGTTGGGACAGGGCAGCCCCCAGCCCCTCCACGGGTGCCCCTGAATTTCTCTCACTATGAGACAACTGGAACTGCTGCTGCTTCAGCTTTTGTGTAAAGCCAGAGCAGAGATGAAAGGGTGTCAGGCTTAGATTTCACTTGCTGAGATATCGAAAGCGGAGCCCCACGGGGAGGGGCGAGATGTGCTGGTTCCCTGGGCTCAAAGGGTTGCTCAGAGCCGGTGTCCTGCCCTTCAGCTGCACCCCAACGGGCCCAAGGAATGCTGGCCCTGGGAGATGGAGACAAACCCTTCCCAGAAACCGGGCCCCCGAGCACTGAAGGTGCAGATGTGGCTTTGTGCCCCCAGCTTTGGCAATCCCACACCCTCCTGCACTGAATATTAGTCAGGCTCTCGCCACCTGAGATGAGAAAGTGGCAGAGCCGGGGCTGTGCCGCTTCCCCCTTCCCCCCCTGGGTGATGTAAGTGCCCAGCTGGGGCTCACAGCCCTGTTTTTGCTGCTCCACCTGGCCTCTTCCATGCCAAAAGCCCCAATTTCGGTCACGAGCTGCCAAAATCTAGGGCGCGGGGAGGCAGGAGCTGCGTGGGGCCGGGTGGGGCAGCCAGTTGAAGTTAAATGACAAGTGTTAACTGTAACCACAACAAAATGTGGGAAGTTCTGAAAGCTTTTGCTGTTCCAAAACCGAAACAAAACAAAACAAAACAGAAGTTAAAACAAGAGTGTGCTTGTTTTGATTTTGCTCCTTTTGTGTTTTAAGGTCCCTCTTATCAGCAAAAGATCTGTCGCTGGTCCTCGTGGCACCCTGGGAGGTTGAAGGGTCCTGGAGAAGATTCTCATCTACTTTGTGCCAACTGAGAATTTTTTCCTGTTCCAAGAGGCCAGTGTGGCTTCATTCCTCAATCCCAGCCCACGAGAGGAGAGGTCTGTCTGTCCTGCTGTGTTCAGGAGACGCTTCCACCACGGTGCTCAGCTGGGATCAGCTCATCTGCCCTCCCCATGTTGGCCAACAGGAGATGACGAAGAAGGTTAATTACTTTCCTGACAGCAAGTACACGCTGTCCAGCACTGGGGTGCTTATGGCTTTGAGGAAAATTTCCAAAGAGAAAAAAGCAAAAGCAGAAGCAGCAGCTCCCTTAGGCAGCAGATGCTCTCATGTTGCTGCTCTTGGTACGTTCCTTATTTTAAGTGAAACTTTCAGGGACTTCTGGAGTCCTCAGGAGTTTTTTTTCTCTCTGTATGTTTGTGCACAAATTACAGCAATTGAACTAAAGCACTTGTGAAACCACTATTTTTTTTTTCATGGCTGACTGGTTGGGAGGCAGAAATGGGATTTTTATCTACTGTTGGCTGTGTTATGATGCCTGGATTGGCCATGGAGCTCGTAGCAGGTTTGTTTCTGGCCTAATGGTGATTCTCTGCTCTTCAAGAGCAGGGAACTACAAGTCTGATAATCATTCTCTGTATTTGGACCAACTCTATGATTCTTTTCCTCTAGGGTTTACTATTTAAACTTATTTTTTTTTTAAACCAAGAAGGGCTTTAACCACATGCAGCCTGCAGCAGACAGAAAGCTCTGTGGCACCTGGTCGAGATGCAGATTTTGGGCTGGTGGGAAGCTCATCCTTGTGTCAGCACAGCCAAGGTCAGGTGAATGACTCAGGCTCCCAGGCATCGGGGCTGCTGATCAGGCAGCGGTCTGTGCTCTCAGGAGGAAAACACCCAGCAAGGAAACCATTTGCTTCTGTGGGATAACAAAACCAGAAAACCACCTCCTTTGATCTACCCGATGGTTTTGTGCTGTTACTGTAACACCCAGACTGACACTGAGATTGGCAGGAACTACCTCAGCACTAAGTGATGGGGGATAAGGGACATGCAGCCGTGCCATGCAGCAGCTTCTGGGGCTGCAGGAGGAGCAGAAAGTTGAACACAGAAAGGGATTGCAGGGGAGCAATGTCCTGTTTTGGTTTGCTAGAGGATGCTGTCCCCGGTCGTGGCAGGGGCGGCTTGGAATTTAGGTGATCTTTACTGTGGTCTTTAAGGTCTCTTGCCCAGCAGGGGCAGGGCTAAACCCCATCCCAGTGCTGCAGCTCTCAGCTCATCTCACCCACTGCTGCTTCAGTCTCTGTGATGGCACCATGCTACTCTATTAAAAGTGGGTTTTGTTTGTTTGATATTTTTGGCATGTGTAGGTTCATTTTGGGACCCAGAGGGTCTACCTGCTCCCTACGCAGGTGTTGGGTCAGGGTGCAGCCTGGAGAGCCACTGGGTGATGCTGGTGCTGGGATTTTGGCTGGAGGGAGGTGCCAGGAGTCACCTGGATGACTTGTGACAGTGCCCTGAGTCTCCCAGTTCAGGGAAAAAAAAAAACCAAACCCAAAGGGTTTATTTAAGCAGTGCATCCTGGCCAGGACGGGCTGTTGTGGACAGGGCTGGCCCAGTAACGGGAAAATGCTGCTTGAGGGCATGGTCAGAAATGAATCACAGGGATTGCTCTTTCACTGGAAATGTCAATTCTCCATGGGAGATGCTGCCTCTGGTTTCCCAGATGGTTTCTGCTGGGATTTCCTAGATCTTCTCGGACGTGATACATTAGTCAGAGATATGTTTACACGCTTCTGCCCACCAGATCTGTGTCATGACACGAACATCCCCGTGTTTTGGTGACAAATGGCACAGACATCCTTGGCACGTGGCTTGCATGGAATCTAGCAGGGAATGTCCCCCGGCTCGGACCTGTGAGCAGGGCTGGGAGCCCTGCAGCACCTCTCTGTAGTCCTTCCAGCTCCCCAGCTCTGCTTCAGAGGGGCTCAGCTGCATCTCCCCACCCTCTCCCATGCTGATCCCCCATGAGCAGGCAGCCATCCCACCCAGAATGCTGACTTGCTCTGTCTCCTCTTTCTCCTGAATCAGACAACTCCTGCAGCACCAGGTCCCTGGAAATCCTTGCTCTCTGTACAGCATGAGGATTCCATTGACCCACATCACACTGGTGGGTGCCTGCCAGCAGCCACCAGGGCTGGGCTGTGGAGATGTTATACTGGATGAATTCTGGGTTTATTAATAACAGAACTGTGAATTCCCACGTGCATGCCCACCTGGGTTTTGTACAGGATGTGCATAGAGATCCACCTGCACAGATAGGTAACCTCCAGCCTGGGAAAAATAGGCAGTTCTGTTGCTGATGTGTAATAGTCTGGTTTTTAACTGGTATCTACTATCTGATCTAGGATCAAGGTCTCATCCTGACTGAGAACAGACATGAATTTGAAAGCACCCCAGCAGGTAGACAGAGGCAGCAGTGCTCCCTCCTGTAAACCAGGGGAAGGGATGTGAAAGCCCTGGTGATTATCAAAGACATTTGGGCTCAGTTACTTAACTGTAAATGCTGCTCTAAAAAGGGCAGTGCCTGAAATGGTTGCTGATAAGAGGCTGGAGTGACCCAGGGAGTACCTTGGGGCTGGTGTTTCTCTGCTGTAGGAGGTCACTGGCAGGGATTTTGTCAGAAATTTGCTTTCAAATGTGAGTACCTCAGGTCTTCTCACTTCCCTGGCCATTAACAACATTCAACTCCTCCTGGGTGGTCCCTCCCACCTGGACCTGTGCCTGCTGGGCTCTTTCCCAGCACGGTGACACTGGGCACAGGATCTGTGCACTGCTGCTGATTCACAGCCCCTGTTTAACAGCTTGCAAGAACACAACAGAGGCTTGGTTCATTAGGAGGTCTTTATTAGCAAAAATAAAAGATTTCTTTTCATACAGATAAATAGGCAAGAGTTCACACAGCGACAGAAGCCGTGGCAGAGACGTGGTGCCCCCCACCACTGTGACCCCCCCCAGGAGTGGAGCTGATGTTGCTCTTGGCTCTCAGCACGGCTCCAGGGCTGTCCTTGCCTCCCCTCCAGCGTGGAAGTCAAGGTGTTTGATGGAAAAACAAGCAGAGAGTTGGCTCAACGGGAGCTTAAACGTGTCCTGGTAAGAAGCTTAATTGCAGTTTTAGAGTGTTTGGCTCCCACGCTGCCCTTGAGCCCGTGCCCACCCCACTGCTTTCAGCAGGAGGAGCCATCCAGGGAGCAGCATTCCTGCCCTAACTCCGGGATAACCAGTTCCCAGGCGGGCAGGCTGCCAGCAGGAATGCCCTTCTGTCACCATCAATGTACACACAGAATAAATCCACTATAAATAGCCTCTCTTCAGCGGGGACTTACAAAGCAAACAGCAAACTGGCAGTGTTTCATCGTATTGGGGCCCTTTCACTTCTAAATATTAGAAGTAAATGCCTCTGGGTTGTGGCATTTCCCTCTGGCTCAGTGTCCTGCGGGGAGCCCACAGGAGACTGGGCTGAGGAGGAAGGTGAGCCCTAAAATCAGCCACTTTTGGGGCCACCGAGGCTGCTCTCACTGCAGCCTCCCCCCTGCAGCACGTGGGGATTAGAAACCAAACCCCAACACTGTCAGTGCTGGAAGCAGCTTCGTGGATTTTGAATGCAAATTACACAAGCCACCTTAAAATGGTGGTGAATTAAATATCCTCTAATTTATAAAAGAAAATAGATAATAAAACAGTGAGTAAAAAAAAATATATATAGTAAAATGAACTTCTGAAAGTGCAGAATGGCCAACACAGCAGCTCTGGAAGGTAGATATTTAGCAATATTTAAGTCAAGTTCTATTAGAACCAAACATTTCATTCTTACTACTATTTGTTTTTTCCTAGAATCTGGATTAATTTATAGGTTGAAGTCTAGAGGTAGATTAACTGAGCTGTTGCTGTGGTTATGGGAGTACAGGTCCTCCTCTTCATAAACATAAAAACATCTGATTGCATAAATAAATAGAGAAATAGAACGTAAGGAGAGTGTAATTTGCTTAAAACTAAACTTTGTTCATTTCAGAGCTGGAATTCCTCCTGATCAGGAGTGGAATTTCACTTGCTATAAACTCTGTTCATTGTCTGCTCTCCAGAAAAATGCTGCTTTGGGTGTTTGGAAGCTATGAATGAAACAGCACTATGATAAACAGTATTAAAATATCAAACAATAAATAGTAGTTTCCAAGCTCATACTCTTCTTCAAAACATATTGTAAACATTAACACTGAGGTATCAAAAGTAATAAATATTAAATTTTTAAAAAAAACCTTTTAAATATGATAGTGAACTGGAAGTTATTGACCCATGACTGAGCCCTGAGATAACCTGAGCTGTTGCAGCCTGAAGTGATTTCTGAACAAATAGCAGGATTTGGTGTGGAAAAGGCAGAGCCAGGGGTGTCTTCAGTTCCTCCCCTTCATCATCAAGTATTTTTCGATGTAGTTGATGAAAATGTCAAACTCTCCCATGGCCTTGTAGATTCCATTCTGGTCCATCTGCAGGTGAAAGCCAAGAGCGTTCAGCGGGACTGTGAGGACATCTGTGATGTGCAATCGCTGGACAACTTCTCCTCCCTCCTCCCACATCTCCTGCTGCTCTGCCCGATTTCCCGGGAGAACCCACCAGCTGCTCCTTCCAGCACCGCTCTCTGGCTCCCTCTGCTTTAGGTATTTATGCATCAAACACCTTTTTTGGGTTCTCTATCCTAAGCTGAAGCCATCAGTAAGACCTTAAGCGAGTTCCTCCCCCACGGTGCAGCCACGTGAGCAGGACCTTACCTTGCTGAACGTTTCCCTCACGTGCTTCATGCTTTTGCTCCTCTCCTCGCACGTGAAGAATCTGTGCTGCACAGGGATAAAAAACAGCGCCTTCAGCCCCAGGGGTTTCCTGCCTGGGGATGTGGTGCGGGCTGTCCCCTCCTCCTGCCCCTCCTCACTGCTGCTCCCCACCTTCCCCTTCCCCCTGGGTGGCCACGGGGCTCTCTGGGGCAGCAATTAGAGCTTTTTAGCACCATGCCCTGCTGAAAATGTGACCCAAGCCTGGACCCCCAGCCCGTTCCCAGCCCTGTGCCCTTTGCTGCCAGCCCCAGGTGAGGTGTTCTGTGCCCAGGGCAGGATTCATCCCTCCTGACTGAGGAGATGGACTCATGGCTGCTCCAGGTGGGACTTTGGGAGGCATCAACACACACCCACGTGGCTCCAGCACCCAGGACCCGCTGCCCACCCTCCCTCTGCTCTGGGACCACCCCAGTGACGCCGAGCCCCACTCACACAGCGCCTCATCATCGCCCGCAGGTTTAGCAGCAGGTTGCCCAGGTCTCCCATGCTCTGCTGGTGGTGCGTGCTGGTCCTCATGGCGCTGGGCAGCACCTCCTCCATGTAGAACCCCATCATCTCCGACACCGACTGGCAGCCCAGGCTCCCCTGGGGCGAGAGGAGGGAAGCAGGTTGGGGTGGGGGTGTTATTTTAAATCAAAGTCGCCCTTTGGTGGTCGGAGCGCTGGCGGCGCGTGGGGAGCCGCGTCAGCCCCGCCGCAGACACTCGTGTCACTGCTGGGCTGCAGAGCTGTCCTGCCCTGACTTTAGGAAGTGCCCCAATTTCCAGACTGCTTCCTTTCTTATGAAAAACACCCGCCGAAGGATGGAGGAGGAGGAGGAGGAGGAGGGACTCGGGTGAGGGTCGCGATTCTTACCTTAAATTCATCCAGCAGGTCGGAGCTGAGCAGCTGCACGCTGAGGTCATCGTCCTTCGATTGCTGTGGGAGGATGCAATGGAAACGTGAGCTTTTTCAGGCAGGTAATCAACACTCTTTTCACTTTGTCTAATCAACTGATCCTTTTCTTGTTTGCATTTGTGGTCTCGCTGCGGCAAAGAGCACCCGGCACACGTGTGTGCAGAGCACAGTGACACCAGGTACAGGAGTCACCAGTTCTTTGGTCCATAATCTTGCAGCACAACGACTGTTAGGTCAGGACAGGAAGACAGTGAAATCACAATCTTTAGTTACATTGATTTTGTTAATGTGAAACTCCTCTCTCTGCTGCCGGCGCTCGCTTCAGCTGCACAGGGTGTTGTCTAAGAGTGCTGCTGGAGACTGCAACGCTCTTCAGGGAGATGTCAAAGCAATGGAAGCCCCTGGAAGCCACCCCAGCCTGTCTGCCAGGTCAGGAGAGTTTAATCCCCCAAGTTTTGTTATCTCTATAAGTCTCCAGTTGATGGGGAAAAGGGAGTTTGTTCTCATGGTGCCTCTCTTGCACCAGCAGCTCTGAAAGACTGAAGAGCTGCAGTGGGGTGGGCTTGCACCACGCAAAGATTGACCCCGTGGCACCAAGGGACTCAAAAGCTGTCCTGAGAGGTTAAAAATACTCCTTCCAAACGTTAACTGGGAGATTTACAGCAAGATTTATGTGCAAAGTCTTGGCTGCACTGAGTTGGTAATAAATACAAGCCATGACATTAGTTTGATATTTCATCTGCAGAATTATCTTGTTTTATTGCTAAAACACACTGACAGCAACTAAAACAGTAAGAAAGATGTGACCAACCATCACTATCATGGGAGATGCTCTGAGAGCATCTTGTGCTGTTTTCTCAGCAGCCCTGAGGCTCCTGTTCGTCGTGAGGCAGAGCAGTGACCTCACACAGACACCAAAGCAGGTGTTCAGTTACTGTGGAGTTTCTCCAGCCATAAAATACCCTGTGCAAGCTTTTGTGGTTCTTTCAAAGCAAAAGTCTGTAGCAAAAGATTTCCCTTTTCACCCAGCTTTGAGGCAAGGCTGGACCTCGCTGCCCTGGAGGAAGGACAATTTCCTTCCTGTGAGTTCAGTGATTAATTTGGTGGGTTTTCATTCAGTGGGAAGTCTGGCTGCTAAGGTTCACAAAGCTTCATTATGAAATCTCGAGTTCATTGTAACTAAAACTAGGAAGAAAACCCTTATGTGCTGTCTCTCAGCGAGCAATGAAACTGAACTTCTGTTGCTCACCCGTAACGCAACGCACACTAAATCATTTCTGCAGGGAGGAAGCTCTTCCCCCTCCAAATCACTGAACTCTGCAAAAACAGAAAGGCAAAGAAACGAGCAAGGGTTATACTTACAAAATAATCCTTGATTTCCTCAAACTTGACTCTCAGCTCCCTGAGCTTTGCAGGCAGGAGCTGGGAGAAGTGCTGGCAGGAGGGCTGGCAGCGGGCACCGGCAGCCAGGAGCAGCAGGAGCAGGATGGGCATGGCTTTGCAGCCGAGGCAGGTTCTCATGGTGTGGGAAAGGGGCTGCTTCCCTCTTGGTCCAGCTCTCGGATGGATTTCACAGGAGGGTATAGAGCAGATCTGCAGCTTTCACCTTGATGGAGCCCCTCATTTATACTCTCAAAAAAGGGCTCCATTTCCTCTCCCCCGTTTCCTGACGAGCAATATTGGGGTTTTAAGTCATTCATTAAACCCAAATGTCACTTGGGTTTCCCGTCAACTTGGGTTTCCTGTTCTCTTGACCTCCCTCCTCTCCTCACACCCCATCAATTCTTTTGTGCTTAGACTCTGCATTTTTTTTTCATTGCTTGTTTCTTGTAAATTTAAATGTAGCTGAAGAGGAAAGTTGCAGACACATGAAGAAGACAAGGTGCTGTGTGAGGTTAATTCTTTATTCTCACAGTTACTTTTTATATTTAGATCAATGTCCTATCCTCAGGGTGAAAAAAAGTGTTGCTACTTTTTCACCTTTGTATGAAACCTGCAGCATTGCATCATTCAGCAGCTCTGCTTTTCATGAACCTGTACAGACACACTGCCTCCCTTTTTGGCATTCTGATGTTCATCTGCAAATACACATAATCATCTGAAAGCTTCATTTTTAATTAGTCTTTCTTTCTTCCAGTTAGTGCATGTGTCTGCTGAAGCCCATGTGAATTTTCACTGCTCTGCAAGCTCAAAGGCTGTGCTGCCCAGTTTTAGCTGGTGAAGTGTCTGGATGCTGATGGGATCAGTTGCCATGCTGTGTGGGGATGCTGTGGAAGAGCCCAGCTGTGGATGTGGCTGCTCCATCCCTCTGGGCTCCCCCAGAGCAGCAAAAGCCCCTGTTTGGACACTGCTTTGTGGGGTTAAAGTGCACAAGCAGGTAATGAATATCCATGTTCCAGGCTTTTAAATCCCGTTTAGTTTCCTAGAAATGGACAGAAGCCCCATCCAAGAACCCCGTGCTGGTTGTAAGGACTGTGTGTCCTGTCTTAACTGGGACTTGTTGTCCTAGCTCTGATAAAGTTGCCTCTTCAAAGCTGGAGATAATTCCTCTGACGTCTCCTTGTTTTCCGCTTCCCCCTCTTTTCTGGTCTCTCTCTATATAAATCAGCCCACAACCCTCCCTCCACTTCCTTGTGATAAAGATTTCACTTATTAATTCGGGAATCTGGTATCCAAGAAAGTGAAAGGGAAAATAAATTTAGCCCTCTTAAAAATCAGAGGGTTTTCTTTGAAATCTCTCGTGGTGTTTTGAAAGAGTTTGTTCTTCCCAGCATGCCTCCAGCAGGGGAAAAAAATCCCTTAAATTCTCATCTCCTCCATCACACTGAGCTTGCTCCAAGTTGAGTTTCCAGCCCTCTGTGGAGGAACTTGTTGCAAGAAAAATGCTGGAAAAATGCAAAGTATTCTTTGTTCTTGTACACTGAGATTTTTTTTTTCATTTTATTTTTAGGAGTAAAAGAGAGGAATGTTTGGCATGCATTGGGTATGAGTAAGGGGAAGGGGATGAAACAGCAGTAACTGGAGGGTTTGAGTAGGACAATGTGGGATCCTTGTGTTGTGATTTGTTTTTTTGGTTGTTGGTGCCTCTTCCAGGGGTGCTGGGGAAGCGAGGTCCCAGTGAATCACTGCAGGCACGCAGTGCATCTGAATCAGGGCGTGTGTCATATTTTTGGTGACCCATTTCTCTTCCCCTGCTCTAACTCAGCCGTGTGTTTTCTCCCCTTGACTGGTCAGCAGAAACATCAGAAAGCAGAAGGGCAGAAGGTTCGGACAAAACCTGGTGGTTTTAAGCTCGATTTTCACTGGCAGGATCCCACTTTTCCCTGGGGAAATTTTTAGCTTATTTTGCTTCTAACTTGAACCTGCCAGGGGTCAATAAATCTTCAGTGCCAAGACCTGGACAGCTGTTTAAGCTTTGCCAGGGTATTGGAGCTGATACATAAAGCCACTGAGTGTGATGTCTGGCAGGAGCCATTGGGCTGGACCAAATCCTGGAGCTAAACCCACTCCCTTGGGTGAAGGATGCAGCCCCAGGCACTTCCCTCCAAATTCTAAACCCTAAAATTCTTGTCTCCCATCCTACAAGGGTGGTGACCTACGTTAAGTCACCATACAATGGCTTAATTAGAAAGTGTATGAACTGTTTAAGCATTCAGGGTGCAAGCAGGAGGTAGCAAATGTGTGAATAGAATGTGATTTAAGTCTCATATCACAACCTGCGCATTCTAGATTAAAATTCTAGCAGTTAGGAATTATTAGTGTGCAAATTCTGCCATGCCAAGGGGTTAGTAAGCTTCAGCCTCATAGTTCAGTTTATTCAGAACAACAGCTTGGACTGGTCCCCTGCAGCAAAGTGGTCATTCAGCTGCAGATTTAGGTGCTGGTGTTTTTATGGGATGCAAGGCAGAGCGGCTTTGGGAATGTCCCCTGGTATGGGCAGGAGCTGGTGCAGCAGCACCACAGGGATTCTTCCACCTTGCCAAGGAGCTGAGTGCTCATTTCCAAACCTCCCTGACTTTGAGCAACCCCTGGGTGTCCGTGCAGCCGTTTGTTTGGCGGCTCCTCATCCTCGTGCCGTCCCCTCCTCCCCGCTTTGTGTTTTCTGGCCGCCGCCAGCGTCAGCCAGATGTGCCCGTTCCACAGAGGAAACTCTGGCCTGTGCAGGGTGATTCTCTGCTGTGTTTACCTGTGTTTCCTTCTGCCACGTCAGAGATCTTGACGGTGCAAGTTTCGCTCTGACTCACCGGCTGCTTACTGCTGTGGAAAGGCATTGACTCTGCACTACTACAGCGTGGCTCATGAATGAAGAAAGCACCTTTTCCTAAAGAGTGTCCAGGGGATGTGGGTGTACCTCTAAACCTTTAGGAAACAGCTTTCATGTCTGCCAAGAAAGATTTCAGGAAGGAAAATGGGTTACTCAAAAGCCATCCGTGCGCTTTTACCCACCTCCCACAGGCTTCTGTGAGTGGCAAGTTCAGAGGAAACAGCAGGGCAGCAGGATGATGTTTCTTCACTAAAACAGAGGCCTTTGGGCAAATACTTTCCCCCACAGCGTGGCACGAGGAAAGATTTGTCCTGGGCATCATCCTGGGCACCCTGCACTGGCTGAGCCTGCACTGGTGGTGGGGTTGGAAGTCCTCAGGGTCTCATCCTCTGGAGCGGAGTGGCACCTCTCCCTGCTTATTAAAGGGGCTTTTCTTATGTGGGCAAGTCTTTAGGTGGCAAATTTTTACATTTTTTTTGGCCTTCTTGGTCTCTGTCATTGCTTTTGGGCAGAGGGACGTTGTGTATTGTGTAACAACATCCCTGGAAGCATTTAAGGAATGACAGGACGTGGCACTCAGTGCTCTGACCTGGTTGACAAGGTGGGGCTTGGTCACAGGTTGGACTTGATGATCTCAGAGGTCTTTTCCAACCTCAGTGATTCTGTGATTTTCTGTACTATCTACTCTGGACATAACCTTGGGGGGGTCCCCTAGATTTCCAGGCTGTCATAGTGGTGTGAATCTTTCTTTCCTTTTCAAAATCTCCCCATTTCTCATCCCTTCAGATCAGGATCTGCTGCCAGTGCCACTCTGGGGGAAGCAGAAGCTTGGTGGCCTTTCTTTCACCTTGGGCGAAGAACAGTTTTGAAGCGCTGGCATTTTCTCTCTCAGCAGCCCCATCACTGATGACTAACAGTTCCTGATGAAGCATCAACTGGACTGCCTGTTTTTTTTCTTTTTTCAAGAATTTTTTTGCATGACGTTGGACATTTCACATCTGGAGACCTTGTGTCGGAATTTGTGACGTGACTCACATTGACCTCGACAGGTAAATCCCAAATTACTCTTTGGAAATTTCACCCGTGTCACTGGTTTATCTTGTAACATTCAAGTGTCCAGAAAAAGGTTATTAATCATGAATTGGAGGTGTTATTGTGACTTCAATGTGACTTCTAGTATGACATAAAGAGAACCTTATATAAGAAGTTCTTAGAAAGTCCAGAACTTCCATTTGATCTAAATCAAGCTGGAAGTGTCACATGAAAAAAAAAACCAGGGGATGGAGACTTGTTCCCATCTGCAGATTCAGTATTTTGGTGATTAACTTCTCTGAGAAATATTCGTACTTTTGTAATTGCACACATAGAACTCACAATATTTGGAATTCTCTTGCCTCTTAAGGCAGAGATTGGGTAACATCTTTGTTTAAAACCCCTTCCTGGAACAGAAGAGCGAGATGTGCTTTATTCCCAGTTTTATATGCATTTTTCCATTTTAAGTCACTCTGTGAGGGGTGTGCAGAGTTGAGGGTGAGGTCAGTGCTGCTGGAAGACCCTCTTGTCTCTGGGCCTTCTGATGAGCCCACTGATGCAACGTTAGGCCCTCATCTGCCATCACCCACACGGGGCTATTTCCCACTCTGCAAAGCAAACAAAGGTGTTATTATCCTTCACCTCTTTTATTTTCCTCTTAAATCAGCTGTTGACAGGAATTTTCTGATGCTCACAGCCCTGTTTGGGTCCTTAGAGAAACCCACGGGGACCTCAGCACTGGGGTTTCAGGAGTGAGGAGCAGGGAGGATGGACGAGGTTGTCTCAGGTGAGTTTGCTTGCAGGTAAGTTAAGAGTGCAAAAGCATGCAAAAACCCCCTGAATATATGATCCATTACCCAAATATCACATGCACTGCCTTTTTTTTTTTTTTTTTGAGCTTTCTACAGAAGCAACTTTGAGCAACTCCTCCCTTGGGCAGCTCATTGCACAAGTGCTGCTTTGATGAGTTTCTTTTCTCTGGTTTTGGTATTACTGGGGGGCGTAGTGGGGGTGGGTGGTGGATCTTCTGGAGAATATTGACTTCATCATGATTTAGCACCAACACCCTGACCCATAACACAAAGTGTTTCTAGTGATGAAAGGTCATAAGACAGAAACCAGGGTTATCACGGTCTGGGAAATCAGATGAGGCGAAGCCACTGCTCGGAAGCACAAGGTGACCCTGGGGTGGGTTACAGAGCTCACCTTCCACAGCAGCACCAAGCCCTCGCCCTGGAGCCAACAACAGGCTGGGCCACTCACCCAGTGGGGGTTTGGGGTGGTTTTCTGTGCGGTGCCAGGCAGCTGACGCCGTGGGTTTGGAAATCCTGGGCTTTCTCTGCCACCCCGCAAGCCGCAGATGAAGCACGTGCCGCGGATGGTGATGCTGCACGTGGTGGTGGGTCATGCCTGGTGCCTGAGGGATGCTGCAGCATTCCTCAGGGCTGCCAGGGGATTTCCCACGTGCCCCTGCTGTCTTTCTGCTCCAAAAATCATTGGTGTGATTTTTTTTTTTATTAAAAAATGATCCATCGGATGTGCTTTCCAGAGGTTTCAGAGGCTTTAGAATGTGTTGATTATAAGGTTCAACCTCCATGTGTTCAGATCTCCCTTCTATTTTCTCTTTTTTTCCTTTTTTCTCCCTTTTTTTATTTTTTTTTTTTTTTTTTTTACAGGGGGAGCAGGTGATCCCTCCTGGCTGTTTCCCCTGCCAGATATCTTAATTACTTCATCTTAATTACTGAGACCCAAAGGCACCATGGTATCATAGAATGCTTTGATTTGGAAAGGACCTTAAAGATCATTCATTTCCAACCCCCCCTGCCATGAGGGCTGAACTTGAGTTATGAAAGCAGTAGAGTTCAGGTACTGATAAGCTATTCCCGAAATCCTCTTGCTCCCAGGGGCATGATCTGCTGCTCCCCATGGCAGCTGAGGTGTCTGCTCCACTTCTGCTCAGCACTGGTCTCCTTGAGCTTCCTCAGCCCTTTGCCAGGGATTTATCTTTTTGGGGAAGTCTGAGGAAGATTTACTTAATTAGCAGGATCAGGCACTTGTGACTGTTTTGGTTATTGTTTTCCCTGTGTCTTCTGAGGGCTGTAACCAGGAAGTGGAAGATGAAGCTGAATGGTGGAAAACCCCTCTCACTGAAAACAGTGTTTAAAAATAAGATTTAGGAAAAAAAAAAAAAAAAAAAGAAGAAGAAATTAAAAGCTCTGAAGGGAACTTCCTCTGCTGGCTGTCCCTGCCTGTCAGGAAAGGAGAGATGGGCACTGCATCTCCCACTCCTCAGAAGTGGCCAGCAGTGTGTCTGCTGGAAATATAAAGTCAAATTAAAACCTTGCAATAGCCCTGATTTATATTTATGACTGACAAGGGGTTGTGCAGTGAGGAAGTGCACTGCAAGGGACCAAGTCTTCAGTTTGCCACTGAGATCATTGGTTAGCAGAAGGCCAGGCTGGTGGAGCCACATGTGCCAGGGTCAGGCAGAGCTTTGCAGGGGAATTGGTAAGAGGATAAACCTCTGGAAAAATTAGCCTTGCCTTGTAGCATGGCTTTCCAAGGACTCATGCCTAGAAGCAAACAGTGGCCAATTTTCCTGGTTGTTCTCATTTCCACAGGTTGTGTCATCAAATAATGTGGGAATCAGTGGTGCCAAGTGGCTGTGAGGTGCCAGCCTTACCCCCTCGTGTCTTATTCCTGCTCTCCCTCTGCCCCAGAGCTGGAGCAGAGCTCCCCCAGTGCATCCATGTGTGCTCACGTGCATCCAGCCCCAGTGAAACCAGCCTTGGTTGTGAAATTGAGACGGGCACAATTAAAACCCGGCCAAAAACCGAAACCCGGCCCCGAGAGCGTCGTGAATCCACAGCCAATTTACTGAAACACAAGTTTCAGTTTTGGTGAAAGCAAAATCTATGACAGCTCTGCCTGCCCATTGGAGTGATTCATTTGCTCCCCAGAGAATTCAAAAACAGAGCTGATGGCAGCAAGCTCTCAGTTTCTCCTCTGTCAGACCTCATTTGTAGCCTGCACTGTCAGCACATTTCACCCTCGGGGGCAAACCCAGAGGCTGTGTGGGACAGTTGGATCCATCACCTGCTCCAGCCTGAGCCAAAGCCTGGTTTTCTGTCAAAGGAGCACTTGGGAATATGGTTTGGGGGTGATTATGGTTATGGCTGATGGTTGGACTAGTTGATCTTGACGGTCTCTTCCAACCTGGATGATTCTGTGGAACGTCCTGCCTGACTTTAGCCATCACACCAGGCTTTAGCTCTTCCAAACACGAGGATGGGAGGAATACAGGAGCTGGGTGGTGGGTATGTGCATCTCAGCAGACCATGGCCTGGCATCTGCCCTGAGCTGCCCAGAGCCCAGTGCTGGTCCCTGCAGTGTTGGTGCTGTGGGTGTCATTGCTCCTAGTGACAGCCACAGGAGCATTGAATATGGTGGATGTTTCTCTTCCCTTCTGAGAATAATCTGGAAAGCCACCCCATTCAAAGCTCTGATTTGGGGGGGATATTTCACCACAAAGCAGCCCCTGTGGCTCCTGTACAGCAAAGTCTTTGCTGTGCTGTCGTGTCCTGGGAGTGCAGATGGCCAGCCCTGGTAACTCTGGCACATGTTCTGTTCTGCAGGAATTACTGTCCTTTGTGAATCTCCACATGCTGCAGGCAGCACCTGATAACCAACACTGTTTTCTGTGACTGTTGATCTGTATCTCCAAAGAAAAGAACTTCAGCTTTGGTTTTCTAAATATTGACAAGTCTTCTCCCAAGGCAAAATCCCTACCCTTGGAATGAGCTATTTTCCTCGATTTTGGTTAATTTTATTTTTGTCTCTTCTTTGGTTCCCTATCTCTTTCAGACTGGCCACTTTCCAAGGGGTAAACTTGCTCTATCCACAGTGTAACCCAGTGTCCATGGGGAGCCTGGGACTGCCCAGTGGAGCAACCTGATGCCTGGTAATGTGAATTATGATTGCAGTGCTAAATATAAGAGATTAAAAAAAAAAAAAAAAGTTTAAAATTAGAAGCAGGCAGAGTAAACAAGTGTAAATTCTGCAGGGAAGATGTGCATGGGGGCTTCTTGTGGCTCTGAAAAGTGGAAGTTTGATTTGCTCAGAGCACTTTTCATATTCACGGATCGCAGCTCGCTCTCCCTCGGAAAGACCTTTCAAGAAAGTTTCGTTTCTTGGTGAAATGTTGGTCCTCCCAACAGGGGACACTTCTCAGGCAGGTCTTCACTGCACTTCAGCAGTTTCTGTACATGGGTATTGCGTGTTCTAAGAGCAGACCCACTGCTAATATATCAGATGGCCACATCAAAAAGCTTCTGAAACCACCTGGAAACTGCAAAAGCCTCCATTCATTAAGCCCATGTTTAACCTCGTTGGCAGATTTGAGTCTGAAATACTCACACATATTTGGAGGCTGGTGCAAATCTTGCCATGGGGTGTTGGGCTTTACATTGTTCTCTCCTAGGTCCTTCTGCTCACCTTCAAAGGCAGGGAAGTTCTTTTCAGGCAACTGTGCCTCAATTTTTGCCGAAATAACCCATTTTCTTCGCATGGTGGGGGAAAAAAGGTAAAAAAAACCCAACATGAGCTGCCCTTGAGCTGTAATTATATAACTCTAAAGACATGAAATATTCATTTCCCTTTGGGGAAGATGCCATTTGTGATAACCAAAATGTGAGTTCACGTTTTATCGAAGCAGGGGAAACAAGTACCCAACCTTCAACACCCGCCACCCTGGTGACTAAATCGATGGTTTTCTGCAGAAGAGATCCGATGCACAAGATCCTCCACCACGCTTTTCCTCTTCCACAAAGGTGAGTCTTAAAAGGTTGGGGGGGAAAAAAAAACCTACCCTCTTTGGGTGAAATCCTGCCTTGGCAGCAGCGCTGCCACGGGTGAGTCACAGCGACAAGTGTCGCATCTGCTCCGTGAGGGTGGTGGCTGGGACGGTGGCATTTGCTGTGACGTGCAGCCCTGCACAGCTGGGAGCTGCCCATGACCAAGGACAGCCCAGTGAGGACGAGGTGGCTCCAAGGTCACCCACAGCAGGGGGGTGATGCTCCCTGGGGAACCAGCACTGTCCCCTTTCTGGTGAGTCGTGCACCTGGGGACATCCTGTGTTGGTAACGCACCATGGCAGGAAGAGCCCCAGAGGGACAGTCATGGGTGATGCCCTAAATCAAGGTGCTTCACCCCATGGTTTTGGGATGAGGGACATTGTCCATGCTCTCCCAAAGTCCCTCAGCACTGGGAAAGGAGATGCTCTGCCTGTGAGGGGAGGTCCTAAAGCTGCTGGGAATCCTGGGCAAGTGTGAGCCACTTGGGAAGGGATCCTGGAAACCAGCCTGAGCTTTTTCTCCCTTGGTTTTGGATGTCTCTTGGGCTTGGCTGAATAAAAATTACATTTCCTTAAGCTGAGCCACGCTCAGCCTGTTGCTCCCTGCGAGGCAGCACTCAATTGTTTGATTTTCAGAATTATTCTGGTGGTTATGGTTAGAAAACGTGACTGAGGAGAGGGTACACGATGTACCACACCTCTCAGCCGATAACTCCTCGCAGAGTTTTCTGAGTCATTTGTTGAGTTTACCGAGAAAAACACTTTTTGTACTTCTGTCAGCAGCACTGCAGAGCTGGGGCTGGGCGAGGGCAGGGCAGGCAGCCCCGGCCCGGCTCTCTGCCCTTAATAAGCTGCACTAATTAAGAAGGGGAAAAGCAGAAGAGCTGTCTGATTGTCAGGGCTGGGAGAGGGCGTTTCCATCACAAAAAGAAAAGGGTGTCATTGAGGAGCTCATGGAAAGAGTGACGTTGGGACCGGTGACATCTGCAGGGTGCTGGTGTCAGTCCCCGTGTTCAGGAGGATCGTGACAGATCAGCACTTGTTCAAACGAGATTTTGGCTCTGGATTGCTTGTCAATTAAACTTTGATTTTTAAGGTGCTGAGAACTACTCTGAGCTGCAGCACAGCACCACTGTGCATCCACCTTCCCATTAACTCCCAGCTATGATAAGGGTGGGGCTGGCTCAGAATTTGCCCTCACTGCAAGTGTGTAAGAAGTTACTCCAGTGCATAAAAACCAAGTGGAAACATTTTCCTCTGCCTGTGGAGCAATAATTACACTCCTTTGACAGGGGTTTAATGAGCAACAGTATGACAAGGAGTGGTGTAACATCCTAGAAGTACTTTTGTTTCACGTGGCGAAGTTGGATATTGCAGATCTTTTCCTGAAGGATAAGAGGAATTGTTCCTGAGTTCAGATAGTGTTGCTGGATGTTGTTATTAAGGCTTAATTTTCCCCTTTATTAAGATTTCTGGCAGCATTTCCATCACTCACGTTCTCTAGCTCCAGGGATCTCTGTACAAACCATTATCACCCTCATATCTGAAACAATGGTTTACCTAAGGCTGCTGTGAAATATGAGCGATGACAAAGAATGACAAACCGAGGCTGGGCTGTAGAGTGTTATCAGAACTTCTTATTGCATGAAACTGCATTGAAATGCACTATTGAAACTGGTGCCTTATCACTCTGAAACCCTTTACTGGAAACCTGATGTGGGATCGGTCCTTGACAGCAGATCCTTGAGATCAGAACAGTTTGATGATATACTTTTAAGGATATATTTATATATATTGAAAATTGAATTCAAAACAAAACCTATTTGAAATGAATTAAGTTGGTTCAGGGCTGGATCAGGCAGCAGTAACTGCAGATGAGTGGGGTGCACAGGGAGGGCTCCCCTGCCCCGCGCTGGAGCAGGGCTGGGAGCTGCTGCTGAGTTTCCCAACATAACCAGTGATTAAGTGTCTCGTCTCCTGTCACCCCCCCGGGCTCTCCAGGACTGTCTGCTCTGTTAGTCACTCCGTTTGTCCGCAGCAGTTTTGCCGCTGTGGGGATGGTTCCTTTGCCGCAGCAGCGGTGCCAGCTCTGCAGGGTGACAGCGGCGCAAGGCAGGGCGAGCCTCACCATCCATCGCGGCAGCGGCCGGAGCTGCCGAGAGCCGGCGGAGGATGCTCCGAGGGTTATTTTCCAGCTGCTCTGGGGCCATTCCCTTCGACCCTGCAAGCCCCTTTTGTGCCTTTCTGAGTTCACCGCAGGCGATGCCGGACGTGCAGGAGCTGCGCCGCTCACCACGCGCTTTGCATTGATGATTTCTGAGATAAGCTAATGATACACGGGGCTTAGTTTTAACTCCCGAGCACGGTGGCGGCTGGCTCACAACCCTCTCTCTGCTGCCTTTGCTTGCTCTTTGGGTTGTAAGTACTTTCAGTGTGCCCTGTCATGACGTGCCTGCCATAAAATCCCGAGGGAGGAGCCCTCCTCCCGTTAGCCAGGAGTTGCCTGGAAGTGTTCCTAGGGAGAGGACCACTTTCCTGCTCGCTTCATACCCGAAAAGTTTAACTGTTCTGAGAGTGCCTGGGGGGGTCGCTTCCCATTTTACTGTGTGAGCTCATCTGCAGCGTCACACGGCTGAGTTTCAGAAATCCCTGTTTCTCTTCTTCCTCTTCCTTCCCAGAGCAAATGAGAAATGGTTTTCATTGTTTCACTGAGGATATTTTCATGTTGCTATGGTTGGCAGGTAGGTGGGAGCCAGGTGGTTTGCTTCCATCAGGACTTGGCCCAATGCATGCTGATGGCTTTAAACTGGAAGAGAGGAGGCTTAGAGCAGATATTGGGAAGAAATTGCTCCCTGTGAGGGTGGTGAAGCCCTGGCACAGGTTTCCCAGAGAAGCTGTGGCTGCCCCATCCCTGGAAGTGTCCAAGGCCAGGTTGGATGGGGCTTGGAGCAACCTGGGCTCGTGGAAGGTGTCTTTGCCCATGGCAGGAGATGGAACCAGATGACCTATAAGGTCCCTTCCAACCCAAACCATTCTATGATTCCTGCTGATACCATCATATCTGAAAAGTGAGGCTTTGGATCTCCCCCTGATCCAGCACTTGAGGTAATCCATCCCCATCATTGCACATATACTGAAAACCAAAAATGAAAACGTCTCTGGATTGTCTCCCCCCCGATGTGGTTTTCCTCCTCCTTGCCTTTGTGATGAGGGTCCCCCTGTTGCCCCTGCTTTACAAATGGTCAGTGACAGGACAGAGAGGCTGAGGGACACCCAGACAGGACAGTGCAGAGGTCTGTGGCAAGGCCCTGATAATACAACATTTCCCTCCTGTTCCCATATCACCCCCAAATCTCCTCCCCACCTGCCTGGCAGTCTTTAACCCACGACTCTTCCTTGCCTGCTGGCACTTGGCTGACCCATTGTGAGCTCCAGCTCAGTTACCAAAAGGAAAAAAAAATAAAAAGAAATCCCTTTATGTCATCTGCCATTTACATAATGAAGTAAGAACTCCCTGCCTCTTCCCTCTATTTCCTCATCCAGGCTGGGTGTGCACCAGGCCCCTGGGAATGCTGCTGCTGCCACTTCCTCTGCTCCAGGCAAAACTGTGGCTGCAGTTACAGGCAGCAGCTGGGAACTGGGGGAGGAAGGCAGGGATTAACAGCCTTGGGCTTTCATAGATCCCCTCCAACACCTCAGCAAGGGCACATGCAACCTGCTGCAGATTTGGACCTGCCCTTTGGCTGATTTACAGGGTGAAGGCGCAGCGGGAGGGAGGCACGTTGGGTGCATTTGGGGCGGTTTCAGCAGCGCTCTGTGCAATGCTATGACTAGCCTGGGCATAAAATCCATTTGCCTAGTCTTCCCTGGTGATGGATGTGTGCTGGGTTATCAATAAATTAGTCACCCAGCAAAACTGTGTAGAACAGCCCTGGCCCACAGGCAGTGGCACAAGATACACCTGCATTGCAAGAGGTGCATGCTGAGGCTGCTGCTCTCAATGGGAACCTTCTCTGGAGGTTGGCTGTGGCATTGAAGGGGTGATTTTACCCCCTCCCATGCCCTGTAAGTCAACCTGACCATCCTTCCTGGGCACAGATAGTCCCAGAAGTTGTTTTTTTTTTAACTGCTCCCTTTTGTTTGGAGATTGAGCTTGGCTCTCCCCAGAGGGGTTACAGAAACAACCAAACCAGCCTCGGAGCCAACAGCACGGTGAACCAGCCTGGGGTTTGCACCAGTAGTGCCCCAGCTGGCAAACCCTGGTTCCCTGGGGACAGCCTGGATCTGAAATGTTGGTGGGAGAATGTGCCTGGTCTGCTGGAGGACCTTGGCTGCATCAGTTTTGCTCAGCAGTGAAAGCTTGGGGTGGGATAGACATAGCTTGTTATTTTGCTGCTGGGCTGGTGGACTTGGAGAAGCTGGAGTGAAATTCCTGTCCCTCTGCAGGGTGGCACCTTTGGACTGTGCATAACGATCACCAAAGTCACCTGTGGCCCTGGAAACCAAGAGACTTCTTCTGCCACCAAGGAGGGAGCTGTGCCATCCAAAATGCCTGACCTTGTGCACCTGTGCTCCAAACACCAGGGGCACACGGTGCAGGTAAGTGTCCACCCACCTGAGGAGCGAGCCTGGGAGCAGAATTCCCTGAACCTGGCAGAGGAAGGCCAGGACAACGATGGAGAAATGTCTGGACAACTTCCAGAGTCGCAGCACTTCTACCAGTGCACCTTGTCCAGTGCCAGAAGCCCTGGGATGTTCGGACCACGGGATGATGCCACTCAACTTCCCACATCCCAAGCCAGGAAGGGGCCCTCTCCAGGAGGCACTTGGTAGCGTTAGCTCCATGCTGGGGAAACCCCCGAGCTTGGCATCTTAGGGATGTAACCCCCATGATGGTCCCTCCTTTTGGTCACATCCTTCTTCCCGAACGAAAACTGACGCAGCAATGCCAAGATTTCCCGCCTCCGTAGGTGAGGGAAACACCTGGTGGGGGAGAGAGCTGGTCCCTTTCACTGCTCATTAATTCAGTAAATTACAAAGGGAAATACATGCCGGGAAAAGCAAGAAAAATCCCAAAAGTTAATCCAAGAGTTATTTCCTCCTGGTACTGGGATAAAAACCTGCTCTTCGGAGCTCTCCAGGTCAGACATTGTCGACACAGGTGAACCCACACTAGAGAACAAGGTAAAACACTGATTTTTATCCCTTTGCTCTATGTGCTCGTGGATGTTTCCTCGTATTCTTATAAAGTGTCTCTGAAATAGTTTTTTTCATTAATAACCTTAATTTTCAGTGCTAGTAGAACTTGCGTTTGACTTCTGCTATTCCTGAGGGAAAGCGTTTTCCTTTGGGATCAGACTTTGGAACCTTTCAGTCACAGTTACCTCCTGCTGCTTCTGAGTTAGTAGATTTTAAAAATTTAATATATATCTGCATTTATTTTTTTTAAAAAATGTATTCAGAAGAACTATGTCTATTTACATGCAGTTTCTTTTACTGGCATTTTATTTATTTTTCCTTGTTTTCTCTTGGGCTCTTCTGTTAAATATTGGAGTTTGTTTGATTTTTTTTTTTCTCTTGCTCACAGAGAGTAAAAAAGAAATGATTAAGAGATGCTACCCAGTGTGGGTTTTTTAATACAGAAGTACTTTACAAGTGCTATATAAAATATGTATGTTTTCATATGCATGACAATTGTGTTATTTAGGAAAGGTAACTCTTTTCCTTGAGCAGGTCTCCCAAGCAGCTGAAATGAAGGGATCCCACTTGTTCCTCTGCCTCTTCTCCATGTCCTGCTGGGTGGATTTGACGCCGACAGCTGGGAACAAAATCCTCCACTTTGGAGCCTGCAGGGTTTCAATGAGCATGACAGAGATTAGGGCTGGTTTCACAGCAATTAAAGCCAATATTGTAAGTATTCCTCCAGGCTCTTGTGGAGCTGGGGAAGCTCTTTAGCTGGCAGCTCCCAAAGCCCCTATGGAACCTTTCCCATCTCCCTGCTCTCCTTTGCAGCAAGCAAGAGACCCCATCCGGACCCTGAGCATCTTGTCCTATCCACACTCCCTGCACAAGGTTAACGTAAGTGTCCTTGGGTGGAAAGCCACTAAAGAATCCAAAAGCAGAGGAATGTGGTCTTGGGAGGTGCAATATATTCCAAATAAGTGTTTTTCAGCTCTCTCACACCCTGCAGCGCTGGATACAGGCCCCCGCTTCAGGTCTCAGCCTCCAATATCCAGCTGCAAAATCAGCTCTTTATTTTGTTGGCTCTCTGAGATTTGCTGAGGATGGATCTCCTGGAAAAGCAGTCTAAAATAATTTCATATATATATATATTAGCAGCATAAATCAAGCAGAAATGAAGAAGCTTTGTATGAGTCAAAATCCCCCTCTGTGCTCACCTACAACGTGCTTCCTCTTAGAGGTGGTTTATTCTAGAGGGGGGCTTGGTGACTACAGCTTTATAACCCTTTGGAAGACCTTTTAAAAATGAAATTCATTCTTCAAGTCTTCAGACAGATGCTGCATCACCCACCACCTCTTCAACTTCTACGTGGACAAGGTTTTCAGGCACTGCAGGACGGAGGATTCGTATGTGAACCGAAAAATCAGCAGCATCGCCAACTCCTTCCTCAGCATGAAGAGGAAACTGGGGCAGTGTGTAAGCCTTGTCTCTTGCTGCAGTTTAGCTTCATCTGTTAGTGTTTGGTGTATAAACAAACCCAAGAGCTTTATAAAGTTCAAAGTCTTTATTTATACAAATGGTTTCAACAAGAACACAAAGCAGTGTGATGTGAAGAGCGTGTCTGGCCGCTGAGAGATTTCTGTGCTTGCCCACTCGCCAGCAAACAAAACTCCCACGTTAGTCCTCAAGGATAATATTTATCTTGTCCCTGAGTCTGTCAAGTAAACTGTTCTTAGCTGAAGTCTGATTCAGGGACCTGCAGCCTTTCCCACAGTTTCACAAGGTCTCAGTTCTATAATTCACAGCATAATTAGAAACTGAACTATTATTTTTAAATGTAACTCCTCAAACTAATGAATTTATCTTATTTTTTCTAGCATGAACAAAATCAGTGCGTGTGTGGGCAGGAATCCACCGAGAAATTTCAGCAAATACTTGCAAACTACGAAGGGGTGAGTTGGTGCCTGAGTCTGGTGATTAACACAGATAATTGGATCCCCTTTACGTGGGTTTGTACTCTTTATCTGTGCTCACAACTTGTTCCTTTATCCCATTCCAGCTGAATGTCACATCTGCAGCAATGAAGTCCCTGGGTGAGCTGGACATTCTGTTAGACTGGATGGAGAAATCTCCTTAGGGAGAGGGAGGCATCGACAACCCACCAGGGCCGTGGCTGACGGAGCTGCTGGGACCTTGCACACCCCAGTGATGAGAGGGACAACAGTGTCCTGTATCAGTGCAGCTCCTCACCCATTCCAGCTGGGTTCACTCAAACACATCAGTGAAGGCACCAACAGAGCCTTCCTGAAGATGGAAATAACGAGTTTGATCAAATCAGCGCTGCCCTCCCTTAGCTGGCTTCCATCAAAGGATGCTCCAAGGGAAAAACCTCAAAGGGTTTCTCTTGCCAGCAAGACATAAGCTGTGATCATGTAATAAAATTGTTGTTTTAAGTTATAAATTTTCTGTGTAGGGAATGTGTATTCATGTAGGAAATGTGCATTTGTGAGTGCTGAGTGCTGGCTGGAAGGACTCTGGTGCAGCTGATGTCGCATAAACCTGGGCTCAGTCTCAAGGGGCTGCTGCCACTGGTGGATCTGGCTGAAACCAGGTGCACAGTGTGAGAAGTGCCTCCAAGAATAGGTCCTAGAAGGTATGTGAGGCCTTAGAAATCTGCCTTTCCTTTTGAGATATTTTCTGCCTTATCAGTAAAAAAAGTTTCTGTGCAAGATATGTGGTTGCTGAACAGAAAAAGGCTCTCGTGTGTGTTGTGCAATTTACTGACACTCAGGAGTGAGTTTTGTGGAAATTGGTTGCAGTGACTGTAAGCAAACCCCACTCGAAACTGTGCTGTCAGAATTCTGAGGAATTATGTGATTCTTGGTGGTAAAACTTTCTGAACTCGCTGTGGTGCCCTCGCACAGCAGGTACTGCCACTCCAGCATGCCAGGGGTGCCAGGATGACCAAAGCTTAGACCTCAGTGACACTAAATCCCCCCAGATTGTCCCCAAGACAATTCTTTGTGTGCACTATGTATAGCTCTGGTCTGTTTTCACCCATTTTGGGCTCGTTTAGCCACCAGCCCCTGCACCCACACTGCTGGAACCCACTGCATGCTCTAAATCCCTTTTCCACTGTGTTTTCCCACATGGTGTTAGTACAAAAGCAGCTGACAGTGGCAGAGTCTGGATGTTACAAATGAACCAAGACCAAAAGAGGTTCTTTAACAGGATTTTGTTGGCATGGAATAAGGTCCTTGTATCCTCAAGGACAGCTGAGGTCCTGTTTTGGTTTCGTCCCCCTCCCACCACAGGAGGACCCTGGTCAGACCTCTGGCAGCAAATCAGATTTGGTGATTCACTTTCAGAGGGAAGGTGTCCCTGACTGCTCAGTGTCCTTCCTCAACTATTTGTTTATGCCAAAGGGAAGCCTCTCAGGGCTTTCATTCTTGTAATTTGCTGTCTCGTGTGTTTTTTTCAGTGACTTTCACCTGTCCAGGTGTGGGGGGAATACACCCCTCCACTCTCTGAAAGGTGATATTTCAGCTCCATCACTCTTGAAACCAACCCTTTAAGACCCACAGGTACAGCCCATACCATGATTCCCTGTTAAAGAATAACCACTGGGAATGGTGCTGTGGTGCAGTGAGATACCACAGCTCACCACTGACCTCCCAAAATCAGCTGACATGTTGGTGAACAGCCAGCTGAAGGAGCAGGGGCTGCTTGGTGAGCTCCCTGTGGACTTTTCCATGGATTGTGGTGGGCTCTGGGTCACAGCTGGAGTGAGATGTGTGGGTTTTATTCCACGTCCTCAGCTTATGCCATCACAGTCCTTACTATTGAATCTGTTCATTGCTCACATCCTGTGAGTGCTGCGTGCCTCAACCCGTGCCTGCTCCGCTGCTTCCATCAAAACCCAGTGATTTTACACCTTCCCACCCCCTGCACAGCACGGCAGCAGCCCAGGGTTGTTCCCCTTTGGAAACCAGGTGCCAGCTGGAAGTGTCAGCAGTGGGAAGGAGCAGGGCCCTCAGGTAGGGAGCTGCCAGGGCTGAGGGGTGCAGGCAGGATGCTCAGCCCACTCACCTCTCTCAGCCCCTGCTCCTCTCCCGGGAATTAAGCTCATCCCGGCTGCTCCCAGGGCAGGTGTGGGAGCTGGGGGAAGGACGCCTCTGGGCAGGCTGAAGAGGAAGTGGATTCCACAAAGGGAGAGCAAAAGGGGTTTTCTCCTCTCAGAAATTTCCAAACCTCAGCGTTCTGCTGCCGCTCACCCCCGGGGACGCTTTCCAGGCTCACGCCTTTCCTGTTGCACCAGAGTCAGTCATTCACTTCCAGCAACTCCAGGCGGGCACAGACCTGTCCTGGCCCCTCCACACCTTTCCCAATATCCAAGCCCCTTCCCACCATGCTGATGAGGGAATGGAGCCCTGGAGGATGGGGTAGGTGAGCTGTAACCTGACATTTGAGGTCCCAGTAAGGTGATGACTATTGCACTGTGGATGTGAAAACACAAACGCTCATCTCAGCACTTAACTGTGGGGAAGTCCATGATTCAGGAATAATTTGTGTTTTGTCCTTGGTGAAACTCAGTGTCTCTCAGCTAACAGCCATTTTCCAGCACCTCCCTGAGCTATGGTTCTGTTTTCATTTTTTTAAACGCAGCTAACACTTTACTAAACCAGAAATATTGTGTGGTGTTACTGCAACACAGGTCAGACCCTACCCAGGGTGATGTTTTTCATTCTTTATGTTTTATGGTTTGATCTCAGAGCTGCCCTTCAGCAGCACAAATTCAGGAATTTGAATCCCTGTGCAGTTTCTGCCCTGGCCCTGCCAAACCCCTCCACAGCCCTGCTCTTCTCCAGGTAAGGCACCAGCCTATCCCATTCCTGGTGTTTAGGGAAAAATTGCTTCTCTGCTTCGTCACTTCTTCATCATTGCTGCTTCCTACATTGCTTTATCTGTGGAATATTCAGCTTTTCCCACCTTTACTGTGTCTGTCTGGGTGTGCTCTCCCCGTGCTCTCCCACGGACCGAGTTCCCTGGTCTGCTGAAAGCCACTGATATTCTTTATTGCTTGTGCATGAAAACACTTCAGACCGTGTCTGGCCTGCAGGTGCTGCCCTCAGGTCGAGAAAGCTTAGAGGAATCAAAAGCATCAGATGCTGTTCTAAAGGGTTTTCCAGCTGCCTTTAAAAGAAAATGGGACTTTTTTAAAATGCCTGTGAGAGCCCACTGTGTTGGTGGAAGTGTTGGTGGAATGAGCCACTTGAACTCCTGCTCACTCAGACCCTGCACTTCCAGCCCAGCCCCATTGGACATGAAACAATTCCTCTTAAATCACCACTTGAAGCTGAATTTAAGCAAAAAAAAAAAAAAAAAAAGGTCAAGCTATAGCAAATTGTGGTAGCAGTGAACAGTGTGTGTGCTTGCTGATGGCTTGGTGTGATCCTCAAGGTAGAGCCGGTCCCAGTCGCTGCCTCCTCTCAATCCCCAACCTTCAGACCTGATCCTGGGGAGGGGACACATCCAGGGCAGGGCTGATCCCCCTGGTGCCACCCTGAGCGATGCTGCCAGAGGTGAGGAGGAAGGTGGAGTAGGTGAGGTCAGCATCCTCCTTGGAGCTCTGGGGAAGGACAGGAGGACACAGTTAGGTGGCTGGGGATGGAGAGCAGCACGTGGCAGGGGAAAGGCAGCACTGTGTGGGCTGTGAGGGTCTCGGGGTGACCTGGGCAGAGTGGATGAGTGGGAGGACCCAGAGGCACCTTCAGCTATTGCTGAGTGCTGCCACTGACCACGACCTTCCCCAAAGGGAAGGGGGGGAGTAGAGGGCATGGAAAGGCAGGGAAAGGCAGGGAAAGGCAGGGATCACAGGTGCAAATCACAGCCCTTGCAACAGCAGAGCCCTCCCTGCCTACCTGTGCCCCCTGAACCACTGCCTACACGTGGGAGGGATGGAAGGTGGGATGGGCCAACTGCTTATCCCAGGGTTTCATATCTATGGCAACAACCCCAACTTTCCTGTTGCAACCTGGGGCTGACTTGGTTTACTGTTTGAAGCAAGGTGACTGCTGTTGCTGTCTCCACTGAAGCATGGAGTCAGGAAAGGGGTATAAGGTCCACCCACAGAGGCTGATCTGCAGCAGGTGCTGGATCCAGGTAAGATGGAGAGCACTTGGGTATAAATAAGGCCCCTGGGAGAAGGCAGCCCCTTTGGCAGAGACTGGAGGGCTGTGTCTCCCAGGTCAGTGGCCTCTCTCCTGCCTCCTCTTACCCTTTTTGCCTTCTTTGCCTCGGCAGCACTTTCCGGGGTGTCCGTGGTGGTGATGAACTCTGCAGGGAGGGAGAGGCAGGTGTTAGAGAGGTGGGCAGGCATTTGTGGGGCTTTTGTAAGGTCCTTCTGCAGACCCCTCACCCCAGGAGGAGACTGGAGTCAGCACCCTACCGTCCCCTCTGATGGCAGTCTCCTGGCTCTCCTTCACACAGGCGCTGTTGCTGGCACTGTAATCCTTCACACTCTCAAAGTCTGACATGCTGATGTTCGTCCTGTAGCTCCCAATGGACACCAGGTCTGGTAAGAGAGGGAAAATAAACAAACCCTCTGCTTAGAGCTGGTGTGAGCACGTTGGCACCTGAACCCTCGGTGCGAGGCGGTGCTGGGGGGTACAAAGTGCAAAGCACGCAGAGGGATGGGCTCTATCTCAGCTGGGCACCCTGTTCTGGGTGTTGGATGGGGTCAATGGGAGCACCAGGGTCCCTTCCCTGCCCTCACACAGTAGGGAAGCAGGAGAGCAGCCCAGCCCAGCAAAGACAAAGGCAGGGACTCACCAGATCTCTTCATCTGCCTGTATTTAACGATGGCAAAAGCTGTCACAACGATCAGGAGCAGGGCAGCAATGGGGCCCAGCACTAAAGCAAGAGTATTGGAGCCATGGCCTTGGTCAGAGCTGGAATGGAGGGAAAGAGAGAACGCTAAAAATGATGCATTTGAAGGTCCAGCAGTCTAAATTTGTATGGAATGATAATTCTGAGTGAGCATGATGCAATTCACTTAATGGACTGGATCCTAGCACTGGATCCCAGTAAAATAAAAAAAGCCAAATAAAAATACAGTATGGAGGTTGTGCCAAAATAGCTGCATCAGCAGCTTGGTTATAAATGTGTGAAGGAAAGTTCTCCAACCTTAACAGAAGTACTTTCAAGCAGTTGTTTTGTATCTGGAATCTCTAATCTCTAATCTCCTGGCACCATTTTCTTGAACTACAGATCAATTTCAAGTAACCTTGCCCTTTGCTGTAACTTTTCCCTCTCCTTTTCCTCTGATGTTTTGAGCAGAGTTCTTTTGGTACAAGAACTCTTTTTGTTGCTAAACCACACGTACACAGTGTACAAACACAGAACCCACAGTGGGTTGATATAAACCTCACAAGAATCATCAATGGCAGAGCAAGGAGAGAACCAA